TGTGTGTGTGTGTGTGTGTGTGTGTTTTAAATAGCCTGTATCCTGCGGTTGTCAAAGAGAAAAACAGAATACAAAAAAGCAGGTCATCAGGTTGCTCTATTTTGGTGACTTAGAGGTTCCTGGAAAAAACAAAAACTACAGAAAACCATGATAAACACATGATAAATTTTTAAATCCTAATATTGCTTTATTTTTCAATATGTTTAGAACAATTGAAAGCTGTGGGAACATACATACAGAGTTAATAGTGCAATTTTGAAAGCAGAGTGACAGTTTCTTCAGAAGATTCTAATCTCAAGATAACACTGGCTTGTTGCAATAAAATAGCTAAGGGATTACTTAGAATTGGCAAATATCCACTAAACTTGGTTTATATTCTCTAAAGACTTTCACTTCCCTGTATCATCTTCTGAGTTAAGCTAGATTTTGTAGTTCCTTCTTGGTGGGCTTTTTAGGGGAAGATTGAAAAAACTGCTAAACCAGAAATGGTTTTGTACCTGACAAAGTATCACTGAAGACTCTCAACAAGTAAAAACCAGGATAAAAATATATAACAATTAAAACACTAGCAGTTTAAAAAATACAACTAAATTGTTTTTTGTGTGTGTGTTTTGAAAACCATGCTGTATGGCAAAAAACTAGAAATTATGTATGAAAAAAATTCATTTTTGTTTGCACAGGTGTGGTTTCAATACCTTCTAGGGACATTCTCCTTGGAATTCCAAGGACAATCTCCTCAGATTTTGGCTCATCAGGTAGAATATCTTGATCTACTTTGAGTGATTTCCCCATATGGGATCACAGAAGAAAGCCTATGTGGAGTAACAGTGCTGGGAGAACATGTGGCTTTATGGACCCTTTTCTTTCATCTGCTGAATCTAGAGAGTAAAATCATTTGCATTTCATGGCTAGATCTGTAATTAATTCTCTGATAGTATTCTGAGTAGATTAGTAGATTAGTAGAGTGATGCCTTAAGAAACACACAGACTCAGAATTAATTGGAATTAATGTTTATGTCCACACCTAAACTTATCTTAGGTACCTTTGCTGCCAGGGAGAGAGAGGCCTTTCTGGGTCATAGATAATATTGTCCTAAATAAAACATATAAAATAGGTTGTATAAACTGCACTGGAACAGGGTGACTTCTGACTATGATTAGTAGCTCTGATTTAAATGTGCAAATAAGATGTTGAAGAGTAGGTGAGAAGAGCTCCACCCACCATGAATACCCATATGAGCTTATCTCTGATGGAAAACTTTTGGTAAGGCTTTTCCTGTTTGTAACAGCATAGTTAGCTGATTCACCAAAACCACGTGTTGGCTTAAAGAGTCAATTGCAATTAGGAGTAATGAACATCTCAAGTGAGTAAGGAGAACCTGTGTAGCTTGAGAAAGGGCTACAATACGAAGAGGATGAGCAGAATACATAAATATATTTGTCTGGGGAGCTTAAGAAGCAGAAAAGAAACAAACCAAGGCTTGGTCTAAATTCATCATAAAAATGATGTCCTAATGGCTCTTCTGAATCTTGTACACTCAAAAGGTATTTCAACAATGGTGTTCAAGCTGAAGTACTCACCAGGGATGCTCCTCCATGTAAACTGCTTTGTCCTCTTGGCCTTTCTCATTGAAACAATTCTTGACTAGTTGCAGTTCTGGAAGAAATATGTTTTTCTTTTCTTGGAGGCAGAAAGATTCAAACATATTTATGAAGATATGACTGGCATTGGAGGGAAGTGCTCTGTGGTTGCTGCTTTTCCTTTGTCAGGCCCTGCTTGTTCAGAAAACAAGTGAGAGCTTTATGCACTAATTGCAAAATCTCACCATTAACTGACAGAATCTCACCCACTAACTGACAGCAACATATGGCTTTCTCTTAAGCTCTAACTTTGCCAAATTTAAGTCAAAAGTCCTCCAGGTTCCTTTCCCTTGGTAGTCATGTCTTTGGATATATCAAACAGTGAAATAACAGCTATAATCTGATTCTTTAAAAGAATATATGGATAGAATTTAGTAGATATCTACATGGAAATGATCAGCTCCTAGATATTGAAAGGAAATATTTTTGGAGCATATTTGTGTGGTCTTTTATAGGCGCTGGATGGGATGTGATGACTCTGCTGCAGAAGTAATAGTTCCTGCCTCTTTCAGTCAGCCTGGGGCGCTCAGCTGCTATAGATCTCTGATCAGTCCAGACTCAAAAACAAATGGATGCATCCTTTCCAAAGTGCCTTGTTTTGCAGACATGCTTGAATGACAATAATGCTGTAATTAATGAGACTTGTGGAGTTTAGTAATATTTCCAAAATACCATTTAATTCCAAAATATTCCAAAATACCCGCAGAGTATCTAACAATTAATAATTGATTAATATTGCTCTGTGAACAATACCAGACTTGCCTATCTTATTTCTCATTTTACAAATATATTTTTCTGTCATGGCTTTTAACCTTAGCAGCACATAGGAAATTAAACCTGCAAAATCCTTAGTTGATTCAAGGATGCAAAAGTCTTGGATGCTCTCTTGTAACTATGGGTGATGTCACAGATTGTTGTAGCCTTGTTCAGGTCAATGTAGCATACACTGTCATGTTCCATGGGTATAATTGTATTGTCAAATGTTTTGTGACAGTGCATTTAGTTTAGGTAACCTGTTTGGTTGTAGGAAATTACGCTCATTTGGGAGTGGGAAAGTGATAAAGAGGACTAAAAATAATTGGGCAACTATAGGTGTGCTTTTTACCTAACAGAGGTATTTGAGAATTTATTTGTATTTTGTAACTCACTAAAGTGCATTATTTTAAAAAGCTCCTAAAACTGATTTTACTATTTTTTTTCCTTAGCAATGGAAAACAAAATGTCACAATTCAAAAGTGGACTTTGAATGTACTTGAAAGAAATAAAAGCAGCTGTTTCAATGAAAATCATTTAACTACAGAAATTAAAAGTGCTGGAGTTGGTCATTCACTGAAATGCAATGATTTGTCTGTCTATGAAAATGACAGCATAACATGGTACAAGGTAATTACTGAAACACTGTCACTCAAATCATTGGCTGTAGAAACAAAACATCTGATTGCAGGAAATATTAATTGCAAACAGATTTTTAGAAGCATCTACAAACTTTGTAAAGCTTTAATTTCTCATGGGATTAGGGGCAAAAAAACTTTAGACAGTTACACAAAACAAAGCTTTTGTCTGCTCTCAGATTTGTTAAAAAATATACCTGTGTCAGAAGTTATTAAACTAGTAGTTTGGAATGATAAAAGATCTGATGTGCATGTCTATTTGCTGATTTAGGCAGCAGCTGGTTTAGCCAGCTGCTGCTTTGCTGATACAGATATTGTACTGATGCTAAATGAGTTGCCAAGATTTTTATTTTACTGTTAGCACGTATTCGTAAAGTAATTGCAAACTTTTTCAATTTTGCCATTTCTGAACAGTTTTTAAGTGTGTAACAGATCTAGTTCTGTTCATTTTTGGCAAGTTATCTTTTTGAGGCGTGTTCCTTATTCCTCTCAGGGCTCCTGGTTGGAGTAACAGACCCTGTTCACTCCCAGATCAATCAGATTTGGGAAGGGATTTTGACTGATTTAGTACAGGCATCTGGAGCAGCCTGGCAAGAATGAACTACACCCCTGTTCTCCTGTCCTTGGGGGCCTGGGAGGATGAGATAATTGATGGATAGAGCCATAGGTTATATTTTTCTCAACTGCAGTGTTCTCAACTTCTAATGGGGTAAATGTTCAAATGTTGCATTTAAATCACCATGAGTGAAAATTGAGCCTGCACCTCTTTTGGGTCAGACACGTGTCATTGAGAAAGTGAAAAGGTGATGGTGACATTTTGTTTCAAAAAAATAATCTTAATTTCTTTGATGTTTTCAATGCATGTTTGCTACAGAATAGTATTTTCTGGTTTTATTGATGCAGGACTGTAAGAATTATGAACACGAAACAGAGAGGGAACTAAATTTTAGATCCTTAACAGTCCAGAACTCTGGGATATATACCTGTAAAATTTTAATCAGTCGTGAAGGAACGATATATCATAGCACAAATACAATTAAACTTGTAGTAGAAGAAGGTAAGAAATCTTTCTAAAATTTTGAAGCATGCTTTTTGATTCACTTTACTATGGAGATATTTAATTGCAGTTCTCATTTGATAAATATATACCAGGGAGAACAAGTCTGGTAATCTGAACTACTTCAGAATAATTTGAGAAGTAAAAAAGCAGAAGTTAAGATGAAATATTACCAACTTTGGAAAATGTATTTAGTATGTTTTCCCTGCAGTTTTATTTTTTCAAAATAGCTGCTCTAAGTAAGTCATACAACTTTACTAAGAATTTTGTACAACCATTACAAATTGTACTCTGTATATATATATGTATGTGAAAAAAATTCATCAAGACATACTGGGTTTTAAGCTACTCAGTAATCAAGACATACTGGGTTTTAAGCTACTCACATATTGTTCTGTGAATTAAATGGAATGTTTGTGATTAATTTTATATATAGAGCAATTAAGCACAGTAACTTTTACTGTGGAAAAATGCAAGTAAGGTATTACTTCAATAGCAATACTTCTATTTTAGATGCACCAGAGGCTTTCACTTTGGAGATAGTTGGACATCATGAAGAAATTGAAACAGAAATAGGTATGAAATTAATATAAAAGTCTTTGAGGTAGCTACTCTACCTACATGCTTTTGTTCTGATTTCTTTCGGGTCTGGATAAGTGTAATCAAACTAAGAATTGTCAGTGCATCCTCCTGTATGTGATCTAACCTCACATCTGGTAATGCTTTCCCTGGTGTATTACATGATTGATACACTAAATATACCCTTTCACAGAGGCACAAACTGCTTCTTTCTCTTGCTACAACCTGCAAGAGAAAGTGATGGTGGTGATAAAACATCTCTCCATGGCTTTCTTTTGTAGATAGTAAACCCCATGAAGCAAAGTGTAAAAGATGTATGGTTTACTCAGTGAACAGCAGTAATAAGTAATCCCTCTGGTACCTGATGTGGTTGAGCATGTTATTCTTCAGGGAAATGAGGAGTGTGAGGTGTGAAAATCCTGGCAATGTGTGCATGAATATCTGTCTTGATGAGACCCTACCTGTGCTTCTAGCTGGAAGTAGGTTAGATAAAATAATCTGGAGGCTTCATATGGTCTTGGATGGGATCCAGGATTTTGTGATTGAGGCTGTAATTAATTTTTAAAAACAGAGATTTACCTGTTCCTCTCCTCTCCTCTCCTCTCCTCTCCTCTCCTCTCCTCTCCTCTCCTCTCCTCTCCTCTCCTCTCCTCTCCTCTTCCTCTTCCTCTTCCTCTTCCTCTTCCTCTTCTGGTTACCTAATCCTTCCTTTCCTAGTCTTACCTCCTCTGTGTCTCATACCTGCATCTCATTTATTCATTTAGGACCTCAGATGCTAATTTTCCTTCCTTCCTACAGATCTCAACCTTTCCCAATCATAGTACCCCAATCCTATGATGCCTCATGCCTTCCAACCTCCCAGTACACCCTTCTTGCACATTTCCTCCTCCTTAATGTGGTTGTCCCAACCCTTAGAATTTAGCAGAGTTTGGCATCAAATGCTTATGAACTACCTGTCTTCCATCCCTAATCTGCCTTGATAAGATTGTTTGATAAGGTCATTGAACTGCTGAATGATGAGACAGATGGCATGGTGGAGAGTGAAGGGAATTTAGGATCAGTCAGGCCCATGATCTTTAAAACCTATCATTGCTTAGGATGGTGTTCTATATTTGCCTCCAAATAGGTGTTGTGTATGGTGAAAATGCTAGAGTTGCAAGTCAATGAATCTAGGTTAGGTCTGTGCAACTGTAATTTGGATTTCTAAGGTCTGAATCTATGATGGTCAGTTTTTCAGCTGGATCTTGCTTTGAAGGTTCCAGAAGTATCTGATAAATCTCGAGGTGTCAGCTTTGTGTGCTCTTACAGAATTGCTGGATAGAACCTGCTTACTTGAAAGTACTTGTGCATGATGGTCTGAAGAAGGACTAACATGAACTTTTCCTGGCTTAAAAAAGAGCATTCTGGACATGTTTCCTGGAAATGATGCTGCAAAGCCTAGAAACTGTGCTTGCAGCTAACTTCAGGTCAAGCTTCCCATGACAGAGTTTAAAAAATCTCACACTCCGTAGCTGCAGTCTTCTGCCCTTTTATTTTTCAAGTGTACAATTGTCATTTGAGTTTTGCAATTTCTTAAAACTATTGGAACGTTATGGGGTGGTTCCTGTCATTTACAGTTAGTGCTTTGAAATGGGACAAGTAGCTAACTGAATAAATTACTTGTTCGTGTATTCAGGAATTTCCAGTTGTGATATTGAGATAAGAATTTGTTCTTTGCATGTTCAGCAAGGGCTTTGGTTTTGTTGAGTAATCGTATATGGTTTCCCTGTTATAATTAGTTGGTTGTAATTCCCCTTACCAGTTACTTACTCTTACCTGGCCCTGGAGCACTGCTGATAGGTTTTCCTCTTCTGTTCTCAGCTTGCAGAACAGAGTCGAGTTTATAGAATCATAGAATAAGTCAAATAGAAGAGATCCATAAGAATCATCAAGTCCAATTCCCTTTATCTCCTAAAGCCTGAAATTCTCAAGTCTATTTAAACCCTTCTGGCTGTGATGGTTTATCTGAAAGAAAGCAATGAATGACTGTCACTCTGCAACAGTGCATGATTGCTGAAACCACCAAGAGTACAGGTGTAACACCTATAAAACATTGAGCAGGGGCTACAAAATTCAGAAAGGAGTACAGCTTATCAGATATATTTCCTGGAAAGCTGACACTACTGCACTGTGTACCTGAGTCCTACTTCTCACTAAATCTTCCCATGTTATGCTTTTTTTGAAGGTAAAGAAGAGATACTCAATTGCACAGGTTTCTTGGGTAATTATATGAAAGAAGATGCCAGCCTCTACTGGTTAATTAATCAAACATTTCCAGAGCAATGCACAGGTATCCCCGAGAATGAACCTTCAATATGTGAAGAAGAACTCAGAAAACTACAGTAGGTCTCCTGAAAGTGCTGCATTTAATATATGATAATGTCCTATACTTTGTGGAACCACAAATTCAGTAAAAACCACAGTCTGAGGGTTTTCTCTAGAACCTTTTTCTCAAAATCTGCCTCTCAGGTGGTTGTAGGTTTCTGTACAGACAGTGTTGCTAACATCATTCCTTGTTGCAGGTTGGGAAACAAGTTCTATATCACAAGGTTACTACGGATTAAAAAAGTAAGAGATGAAGACATGCATCATAATTTCACCTGCATGTTGCAAGCTGATGAAAGCACACGGATAAAAATAGTAAAACTGAAGAAAGGTATGGCATAATCTAGAACTAATTTATTAATCAGTCTTCTCAATCCTGAGGGCATTTCAAAACACTGCTCCAAGTATGTCTGTCTGCTTATGACATCTGGTGCTGGACCTAACTACTCCTGGGTTATTCCTCCTGCTCTCAGACAGGGGCAGAAGGAGTGCAAAGCAGGAGAGTTGGACTAAAATGAACATGTGTTGAAAGTGTCTTCATGAAAGCTTCACAAAGCTTAAAGTGTTTGAAATCTGTATTTGAAACTAAAACCCCAAAAGATATAATAACAATAATATTATTATTTTATTAATAACAACAATAATAATAATAATGAAGAAAAGCCTGAAGGAGAATAGAGCAAAAAAATATAAAAATATCTCAGCCAAAGAGATTAAAGGGGACATTAAGAATTTATGGATAGGACAGAGAGAGGGGTAAAAGGTAGATAATAAGAGGAAATAATAAAAAAAACCGGAAGGAAACTCATCACAAAAGTGACTGACCATCATTTTGGGATGCTGTACATCTATGAGGATATGTAATGCCAATCTTAGTCTCACATACCCTGCACACATATAAATGAACTGTATGTGATTGCGTCCAAGATTGTTTCTCCTGTTTTTACAGTAAAAAGAGTTTTGTAGTTTCTCTCTATCTTAGGACCAGTGGCATGCATAAGTGCTAGAAGCATTAGCAGGAAAGGATTCCCATCAACACTGTGATTTTTTTTAGGTGATTTTTAGGTGCCGTTAGTATTTGATACAGTAATCTTGTCATATAATACTCTTTGTGAAGGCTGTAATTTGCTTTGTTTCTCTTTACAGGGAAGACTCAAGACCTGCCTGTGCACATATTTACCACTGGAATGGTCCTTGCTCTGCTATTTCCATTTGTTGCTGTAGCTTTGGTGTTTGTGTTTGTGGTGTTTAGGGTCGACTTCGTTCTATTTTACAGAAGTATATGCAGGAGAGATGATACTGCTGGAGGTATGGCTTTACTAATGCTGTCATTGAAATAAGCATATTGATGTAAAATATTTTCTGGCAGGTTCTATGAAATAATCGGCTTTGAGGAAGATAAAATTATCTTAAATCCAGGAGCAGTGTGAGAAGAAACAAAGAATATATAAAAGAGAACTTGATGGTCAGGTGTTAATGTGTATTTGTTATATATGTGTGGCACTGACAGCAGATAAAGACAGTGAAGAAGCCGCCTCTGGAGTAGGCAGCGGAAGGGATGTGGTTGGATGCTGTTCAGATGATCTCTGTTCTGACATACTCTTCATCACAAAAGTTGATGGGTGGAGAGGTTTGCAGTTGCCTATCCATGAAGAGGATGAACACTGGAGTTTTCAGATGGGCAGACTGACACAAATTTGTTTTAATCTCACTGATGCCCTTCAGTAAGGTGAAGCTTAAAATGTTTCCTTGACTGTAGAGGCCATTGCATGTTTATAGGTTTGTCACTACATGCACATAAGGAGAGCAGGAATGTACATTCCTGGTATCTTGTCAGGCAGCAGGTCTGTGGCCTTCACAGCAAGAAAACCTGACAATTACTCAATTTTAGGAATTGTTTTTCTGAAGATTGTGGTGGCAAAACTTGCTGTATATATGGGTCTGATCTTCTTGGCCTTCCTTGGTCTCCATCAGTTTGAATACAGCTTGAATGAACTGCAGTGGTTGGAGATCTTTCATTAATGGGTGGCTGTAACTTTTGCCTGCCAGTGTTATTATCTACTTGTTGATATCAGCTACCACAGTGTACACTGACTTACACTCACTCAAGAAGGATCTCTGAGAACCTGGACTATGCTGCCCTGGAGGAGCTGCCTGTTGGATAGCAGGCTATGGATTTCCTACTCCTAGAGCTCTTGAACGTGTAGGGTTTCATGGAGTTTACTTTGTGCTCTCTCTTATGAACTACATGCAGTAAAGTATTCAGAAGGGGAAGCAAAGAGGTACAGTTTAAGAAGCAAAGCCACATGTGCTGGTCTATCAATCCTGATAATTGCTCTGTGCCAGTGTGATGGACCTGGATCTGGATTGGTCTTTGATTTCTGTTTGTAAATTAGTGCCCAAACCATGACCAACATGGCATACTCTCATAACAAAATAATTAACTGGTTTGCTCTCTCTTTTGCCAGTACCCATTCCACTTGATACTCTTACACACAGTTGTACAATGAATGTTGAAATCTGCAATATCAATTAAATAACATTTTTTTCAGGTTACAGTCACTTTTTTTATTTTCTTCATATCTTGATATTCACAGATGTGACATCAATTGCTTAAATTAATCTGATTTTATTTTAAAAGCACTTTAATATAGAAAAGAAATATTTTCAAGTATTTTCCAAATGCAATCAAAATCTTTTTGTATCAACCTTAAATTTCTTCAGGACATTTTTTTAATATGATGAAGAGTGTTTGAAGACTGTTCAGAGTCTTCAGAAGAAAGATAAGGGATTTCTAGACGCTTTGCTATTGATCCACTAAGTTTGAAAATCAGAATGGTGAATTAGATACTGGATTTCTAATGGTTAATAACAAGACAGCAATTGTTGGTTTATTTTCAGATGGAAAAGAATACGATGCATTTGTGTCTTACCTGAAAGACTGTGTTTCTCCTATTGAAGAAGAGAGAGAGTTTGCTTTGAAGATATTGCCCATGATATTAGAAGAAAACTTCGGGTACAAGTTATGTATATTTGAGAGGGATGTATTCGCTGGAGGAGGTAAGTGTACTGAATATTCTTGTCATTAAATAGGCTCATTGTTTTCACACAAAGGTCAAAGTCCATAATTAGAAGGAATTCTGTCATGTGTTGTACATTGAAAGGATACATTTTTCATTTAATCTGGACCATGTGCATGTGTGCATTCAGAGTTTGCTTGCAAACATATTACATGTTTTGTAGTTATATTTATGAATTCATATACACTTACACACACATGCACACATATATCACTAATTACAAAGAACCAAAATGAAAAGATCAAGGAGCAAACATCGAGAAGGTTAAGGTGAAGACACAGAAGATTTCAGATATTTCACAGTAATAGTGCTTTTGCTCTGGTTTTGCTGAGGGCCAGTGAATGAACTCACATTTATACAGAGAGCAGCTGGTGACTCTGGTACTAGTTATTCTTAGATAAATTGTATGTTTGCTGTATCTTTAGTGTGGTGGTTGAAACCATTTTCTGAATGAAATGGAATTTGGTTTGGCCTATGGATGTGCCTTTTTCTTGGATAAAAGGTAGTATGAGTTCCCACTTAGTCCAAAGATCCAGCTGAGAAATAGAATTTCATTGTTCAAACCACAGAACAATAAGATCAGTCAGCCTCCTTCATTAAGCAGGATTTTATCTCTTTATATCCATTCCTGACAAATCTTTCTAACCTGAGGGGAGCCACGGCTCTTCCAAACCCTTTCTTTCTTATTTATTCTCTTTCTTTAAGTATTAAAAAATTGTTTACTGAAGTGTGCAGTCTGATTCTGTCAATAGTTTGAGCTTACTTCCTTTTCTCTGGTCTGATCCATTGTGAACATGTAAAATAGAATATGCTCCTTCTTTTTACAGGAGCCTTTGGTGTTATAATACTCTTGTCAGCCTCCTTTCACCCTCAGTTTTCTCTTCATTAGGTTAGTTCTGCAGTCTGCTTTGCCTTTCTCTACAAGTAATGTTTTCTAGATCCCTGGTTTATGTAGATTTTGTCCCATGGTGCTAAAACAAGCATTGGAAGCTGTGTGTGAAAAGTCAATTTGATATTTAAAGGGTATCACCATTCACTTTCATTCATCAGTTTTCATGCCAAAAGTCATCAATCTAAAACACAGTTGGAACTCCTGTCATCACATGCTGGTCTTCTCAGCCCTGGATTATTGGAAATGGATTTGGGTGTTTGGTGTCAAAAAGGAAGGGGTAACCCAAGGTTACAGAACTCTTGGAGAGAGGTTGTTGTTTGTGCCTTTCTGTGGAATCACTCCAATGGTATCTATTAGGAAAGAGCAAAGGGGTCTCTGGTGGGAGGAAAGTGAAATTCTGCTCTAACCTTCTGTCCATGTGACTACTGCCAGACAGCAGTCCAGGCTAGATGGAGATTATAAGTAGGTTTATGTCTGCTCTAGAGAGCAAGCTTTGACCAAATCTGAGTTAATTTTCAGAGACTCTTAATCTTTAACACATATTAATCTCTTCATAAGGACAGAATTCTTACATGCTGTCACTTTATAAGAGGAACATTTTTGCTACTTATGTGAATTTAAAAGATAAGTTGATTTGGTGCCTATCCTTTCAATTTAATATAACAATAAATTTATCTTTAATTTGCAGCATTTGTTGATGATATCCATTCATTCATTGATAAAAGCAGAAGATTAATCATTATACTGAGCCAGAACTACGTTTCTGACAGAGCCATATATGAACTTGAGAGTGGACTGCATAAAGCTCTAGTTGAAAGAAAAACTAAGATAATATTAATTGAATATATGCCTATAAGTGACTACAATTTCTTGCCAGAATCACTGTCACTTTTACCATCAAAGAGGGTGGTGAAGTGGGAAAAAGATAAATCTCTTCCCGTGAATTCCAGATTTTGGAAGAACCTTCGGTACCTGATGCCAGCAAAGCCTATCAAGATAAAGACCAGGGGGCACTATAATAATCTTGATTTAGGCTCAGAAGCTGATCAACCCTGGAATGAGGGCTGTGGCTTTAATGCAATTGTATAACAATTCTGGAGACAGAAGCTGTAGCAGAAAACTGTATGTTTTGCTAACTAATAGAACGAAATAAACTAATATTTTGGGAAATAGGTTGATTAAGAGGACAGCTCTGAGATCCGAGAAGAGTGCAGAAGTTATTGCAGTGGCCAGGATGATGTTAATCCCAATTGCTAAATCCTATCTCAGAGAAGGTTTCCTCAGCAACTGCACAAGCAACAGAAGTTTCATTTTGCTTAGGAACTACCATATGGCACGAAGCACAATGCATTTTTATTTCACAGTTTTCAGTGATGTAGAATGATACTAGTTTTACTTGCATATACTCTTTAGGCTCTTCAATAAATAAATCAGTACTTGCAATCTCTTATTATTATTTAGATGCTCTTTGTTTTGTATTTTGGTATTTTCTAAGGATTCTGATTGTAAGTAGACCCGAACAGCTCCTGCCTTAAAGAGCTTGGCATGCAGGCTTTGGGCAAAATCAAGTAGAAAAAACCCAAACCAACAGAGAAAAGAGAGGTTAGAAAGAGTAGGGCAGTTTGGGATGCTTTAACAGTATTTACTACTGAATTGTACATGGTCTACAACTGGGAATCATTTGAAGGAATGGTAAAGACTGTTTACATCCCGTTTCACTGAGAAAATTGTAAATGCTCATTTTGACAGGGAGAAGAGGGGGTTGGGATATAAATAATGGTATTTTGTTCATGGATGCTGACACCACACTGGAACTAATTGCCCAGAGAGGGTGTGGAATCTCCCTCACTGGAGATATTTAGGAACTGACTGGACACAATCCTGTGCCATGTGCTCTGAGATGACCCTGCTTGAGCAGGAGGCTGGACCAGATGGCCCACTGTGGTCCCTTCCAGCCTGACCCATTCTGTGATTCTCTGATACCCTGAGCTGCCTTCAGCTGTTGCATGCAGGAGATTTAGGTGAAAATGAGATCTTTGGTGTGTATATACACGTCTAACCCTTTGGAACTCCCATCTTATTATTATTATTTAAAATAAAGTTAGTAGTGCTATTCAAAACTATGCTAACCCTCCCTTATTATTAGCTGTCTGACAGAAGATACCTATCTGACATAAATTCGTGGATAAAATGGAACCATATTTCCTCCTAGCATCAGTGGGGAGAAGTCTAGGGAGAATCATTTTGGAAGATCTTTTGTCAGGTTGCTAGGAGATCATCAAGTCTCTTCCCACTCTCGCAATTGTCTTGCATAACTGCTGGTTTTGAGAAGGCATCTCTTTTACACAGAAACTTAGTTCACACATGGAGGAGCTGCATTACCTTCTCAGTGCACTTGAAAACACAGTTGGAGTGTTGGGTGTCATGACAATGTCTCAAGTTTTGTGGGAATGAAAGGTTATTTGTCAAATATCCTTTAATCATGCACAGTTTCTGGAAGACGTTTAGGTGAAAGAAAAGGCTAAGTATGGATTTCCAAAATGGAGACAACACTGTTGCCAGGTTAACAGGTAGGTGGGAAGGAACAAAGGAATAAGGCAAACATCTGTAGATACTTCAGAGGTCTCCTTTCTATCAGACAACTAAAGAGTTATGTAAATGTGGCTCATAGGCAATAGCCATTCTATGGTGTAAGCTTTTACTGAAGACAATTTCTCCTCTGCAGCTGTGTGCCTTTACATTTCCAAATCTCAAATATTTCACGATGTTCAATTCAATTCAAGAGCTTCCCATGTTTTCTAGTCACAGATAATTTTTAACATTCTCTGTCAGCACAGAAATGACATCAGACATACTAGGCACAACCATTTTCTGGCCAAACATCTTAGAGAAGTATTAGTAACTTTCCCAATACTTAACTGAGGTATTAAACTTTCTCCTCATCCACGTAGTTTTCATATACTGTCACCAATGTATTGCCTAACTAATTAAAGGTCATATGGGTTTTACTACACATGTGACTATGGATAGTGCACACGGTTTGTTAATAGCTCTGGACCAAGCCTACCCTCTATGAGAATCAGCTACTCTAAATTGAAATTGAATTTGCCATGGGTGTCCCCTCATCTCAGCTTGGAGAGACAATGTGACTGCATATACCTGCTACACCTCATGAAAATGTACCCTGACGCCTGTGACACCATACAGAATTTGACTGCCCTGAGATTTCACAGAATAACAGAAGATTACACATAAGGAAGATTGAGAGCTAAATGGCATTAACTCCCAAGTTGTTTGAATGCCAGCAAAACAGACACATGTTGAATGACTCAATATCTGTAACAGGGGAAGTATTTTTGCACAGAAAGGTATCATGACACAGTCACTTTAGAGATGATCCTCACTTCCCATGATGCAGAGGTAAAGAGGGACAAGGGAAATTAAGGATATGCATACTCATACTAAGGCCAGGTTTTGCTCTTATTGATCTTCTATCCTGAATTACTGACATTAATCAGACCTTGGAAATGGTTTTTGTTTGCCAGTCCATAGAGAAAAGGAACTGCTAATATTACTTTTTATAGACTGCAGTTGTGATGATTTGCCTCATGTATATGTCAATGCATAAGTGAATTCACATGATAGTTGGTTTGAGGTAATGGGTCATTTCAGTGATTTATACTGTGGGTTTTGTTCACTTTTGCACTTAATAAAACTATATTTCTCCTTCTCTACATCTGTGGCTTCCAATTTTGCTGCAGCTAGACAGAAGTAATATCATCAATGAGTGTTTTAAGGTTGCTTATAGAATCACTGACATATGTATTGGCAAAAGCAGATTTAATATGAAAGTGAAAGGGGGAAAAATTCATTTGGCAAGGTTCACTCTACTACTTACTAGGTGGCTAAAGCACACAGACAAAAATCAGACTAAAAGCTAAAATCAATCAATCTAACCCCAAAGTCAACTCAAAAATTATCTATGAGGAGGCTGGAGGGGGAATGGGGGGAAGAAAAGAGGGTAGGAAAAGGTAAGGATATAAAAGAATAAGGAAGACCCAGTTAGCCACAGCTAAACTGAGCCAATCTTGACTAACAGTTTAGGCCTAAAGGTTTAACAGCACTTAGCAGCACTTAATCGATAGCTTCAATTAAACAATTTAACAAAGAATTCAAGTAGAATTTACTACAGCACAACAGTAACTCATTTAGAGGCCTAGCTTACAAATTTAAGTCTTTTAGGAGAGTAACATTCATAGTACATTTGCTACAGCATATTCACACTCATGCACGCAGACCTAGACAAGTATATATCAGGTATACAAGTGAAAAATGCCCCTTGAATTCAGTGAAGTGCTCCCATCAGATGAATTTGCATCTTCTCAATGGACAAAGGGTTGAGGCTGGAGCTGTGGGGGTGTCAGCCCAGGATTTGTTGTTGTCTGGTGATCCTCCAAGTGCAGAAAAGTTGGGAGTTCACTGGCCCTGAGAGGGAGGTTCTGGCTGCAGCCCACTGTGGTCCTGGAGAGCTCAAAGGGTCCTGCTTAGGACTGCTGTTTATAGGGTTGCAAGAGAGTGGGCTTTAGTCATAGTAATTTTCCATCCTAGCCACAATTTGGGTTGGAAACTTTCTTCAAGAGAGCTCAATCAAGGTGCTGTTCAAGGCCAAGGCAAACTGAACATTTCCCAGCTCATGGTGCCACCTGAGGGGTGGTGGGGAGAGAGGCATCACCACAACAAGTGTCAAAAATCAGGCTTGGGGTATGAGGAAAAAATGCAAGTAAAGCAAATGTGGTTAGATCACAAGCAACAAATGTCGCAAGTATAATTTAGGAAGATTAAAACAAAGCCAAATCCACAAAAGCTGTAGAAATATGTAATTTCCCTGAGGAGGACATAGATGGGATCAGTAAGGAGACAGCTGTTGCAAGCCACTGGTCTTGAAATTTCTTGTCTCTCTTGCTTTGTACTATAAGATAGAAACTGGCTGTGAGAATACGGTCTGTGTCAGCATTTTTTTAGTGCTGCTGGCTGACCGATTTCTACCAGACACAATACGGGCTGGAAGCAAAACAGTATCAAATAACTCTTCTTGTCTATTGAAAATTGTAACATAAATGTAGGAAGAATTAGGACTATTGTATATAGTGTCATTGCTGTAGGGTAGTACTGTATAAGGGCTGATAACTGCATAAGGTTTGTCAATTAGAGGGTTTTTTTCTTACCATAAGTACTTCTGTTCCTTCATGATCATTTGCATTCTTTAGAGACATTGGAGAGGTAGAACTTGTGAAACAGGAGTAAATTCCCCATAAGGACAAATCCTATCAATTCCACCACTCTCCATATTGTAATGAATGCAGGAGATTTGCAGAAGGGCTGGACAGAGGGAATCTTAAGATTTGCTGGTTTTGTTGCAGAGCAACTGATGATGCCCACAGAAGCAAGCTGTTCCCAAGTTGTGTTTACTGAGCTGGAAGTTGAACATAGCAGTTGCAGTCAGCAGTCACAAAAAAGTCACAAAAGAAAGGAGAGCAACGATAAGGATGCTCCAACAGATTCTGGGAGCACAGCTCCTGTGTGTGCAGGGCAGGGTTGGTGCTCACTGAACATCTCAGACCTTAAGGGAGTACATAGCTGATTTATGCAAAATGGTCCAGAATTTTATGTGCCGCATTCAGAATTCAGTAGATTGATTCCTCAGGTAATTAAAAATGGTTAGAAAATAGAGATTAACAGTTGTGCAGATAGATGTGTGTGTCTGGTCTGGAAGGTTACTGTAGAACTGTGGTTATATATTGAAGCTGCCCTTTTCTATCTTAATTTCTCATAAAAAGTAGAAAAAAGTTGCTTTCTTTTTAGACACATCTATGGTCTGGCTTGCAGACTTTAAGAATGAAATGTTGCCTTTCCTAATGAGATGCTTGTGATGTACTTGAAAAGCATTCAATATTTTGAAAAAGAAAATGCGATTGCATTTTAGGGAAATAATTTTCTGAACTAGAATTAGATGGGGTGTCTGGGTGAAGCAGCAGTTTCTGAGATTTCTGCAGTATCCACAACTTACCGCTTCCTGTAGTTCAGCAATCCAAATTTTCTGATTTTCAGCAAAAGCAGCTGCAAATAGGCCACAATAGTATTTTTTTTGTTTGTTTGTTTTGTCAGCTAAATATATAAAAAAGTCATCACAGAGTTTTGTCTCTTATTGTTTGATCTCCCATCTGGCCTCTATGGGTGAGAAATAGTGTGTACATCAGCAAGACAGCCCAGTGTAATGTATTTGTTGCTTGTAACCCATCCAATACAAAAATGATAGAGTTCGGTACATTGATGCCTTAAGGTATTTCTGAAAGATAATAAAATAGATTTATGGGTTATTGCTCTCTTACTTTCAACCACTACTATAACTAAGCCAATTTCAGTGGTGTGCTGGAGACCTCATTCTGCTATATGGCTACGAAACTCTTTTAGGGGTTTTGACTATGCTGAAGGAATGCTGTTCCATAAGAGGTTCCAAAATAACTTTTAATGCTGTACAAATCCAACTTTTTTGAAACAGTTGGGCAAATTCTGAAGTGTCTGTGTCTAGTCTTGAAGGCCTGGCAGTATATACTAGGAATTATCTGAATATCAGTAGCAAATAGATCTCTTGAGGACTTCTTTATGAGACCTCATTTATGGATTTTGGCTTTTCTAGAGACTTGAAAGTAAATATTTACCTCTCAGCTGTGATAGCATTTGTGCATATTTGTGCATATTGGCTTGATAAGCAATACGTTAAGCATATTTATTTATGTAGTACATAAGGAAGATACTGCCTTTATGGACTAAAACCAAAAATTCTTCTACAAGGAAGGAA